CTGTCCCCAGTAGGGACTGTCACCTGACCCCAGCAGGGATCAAGGAATAATCACGTGCACTCAAACTTCCTCATCCAACTCCAGGAGCAGAGGGAAGTTATGATTCTTTGTAGATAAGCACCTCAAATGGGGACAGGGAAATATAAGGGAGATACCAGCTTCGCCCACTTCTAGCTGTCTCTACCTTGTGTTTGCAGTCAAAGGGATGCACTCTCGTCTTCCTGCCTCAGCGAGCAGTTGCCATACCTTCTCCGTTGTGGACTCTCCCTCTGGAACTGGACCCCAGATTAATTCTTCTTCCTTTAAGATGCTTTGGGTCATGGTGTTTTATCACAGCGAGAGACAAGTAACGAATTCCTGGACCTCTGTGGGGTGTTTGGAAATCATCAGCTGTGAACTCTCTGATTTTGTTCTTCTTTGCTTACTCTGTCTTTCGGGTTTCTTATCATTGTGGGACTGGTTTTTCTATCTGGAGAAGAGCAGCGCCATTAAAGTTTTGACAGAAATTTCATTCGACCGGAAAATCACTTTACGTAGCACAGCATTTAGGCAACATTAGTTTTTCCAGTTCACAAATATGATTGCCACCCCATGTGTGCCATCTTTCATGTTTTAATCAGCATTTTGTTTTGTAGTTTTGAGTTTATAAATACTCTACTTTCCTGGTTACACTGATTCCCCAAGTTTTATTCTTTTGTGGTGGAATTGCAAATTATATTATTCTTTTAGTTTTGGTTTTAGATTCTTATTGTTAGATTGTATAGACAAATTTTTGTATATTCTTTGTATATTCTGCAACATTATTGAATTTGTTCATTTTAACTTTTGGTGGAACATCACAGTTTTTCAGGTATAATATAAGGTAATATCAAAACAGGATGCATGTGGGCAGGATGTCAAAAAGCATGAAAAGATACTCAACTCAAAGAGAAAAGATTTTATAATAACAAAGAAACCAACTGAACAGGCTATAGCCATCAATTTACATGAATACAGCATCAGCACACCTAAGCAGAGAAAACAATCAAGAGAACTGAAGAGACATACACAACATGGTAGCAGAGGAATCCAGGTCTTTAAGAAGCCACTTTTAACAATGAGTAGATCAATGGATCATCAAACAGAAAATCAGAACAGAAACAGTGGGCTTGAGTAACGCTGAGAACCTAAAAGACCTTGTGGACAGAGATTATCCCACTCAACAACAGCAGAGCAAGCATTCTTCTCAGCTCACATGGACTATTCTATAGAGAGGACACTGCAATTGATTTTTTTGTTTATTTGTTCTTACTCTTTGGGGGCCCGCCACCCAGCTCCCAAATAAATACAAATTCTTACTTATGAATTACTTATGAATGCCCGGCCTTAGCTTGGCTTGTTTCTAACCAGCTTTTCTAACTTAAATTATCCTGTTTCTCTGCTTCTAGATTTTGTCTTTAGGCCTTTTATCTTTCTTTATTCAGTCTGTCTTTCTTTCTTTCTTTCTTTCTTTCTTTCTTTCTTTCTTTCTCTCTTTCTCTGTAACTGGCTGGGTGGCTGATCCCTGGCATCTTCCTCTCCTCCTTTTCTCGCTCCTTTCTCCTCTTGTTTTTCTTCTCTTTATTCTTTCTGTTTGCCAGCCCTACCTATCCTTTCTCCTGCCTAACTATTGGCCATTCATTCAACTCTTTATTAGACCCATCAGGTGTTTTAGACAGGCAAAGTAACACAGCTTCACAGAGTTAAACAAATGCAACATAAGAGTGCAACACATCTTTGCATCATGAAACAAATTTTCTGATAAACAGATGAAACACATCTTCGACTAATATTCCACAACAGGACACTATGATGAGTCATGTGATGATTAACATTGTTCTCAGCTGATAGGATCTGGAATTGTGGCGACTCATTTTTCTGAAAGTATCTCTTGCCTTCACAGAGAATGAACTTTTGCTCAGCTTGGTAGCCAAGTTGGTAATAAACCTTGAGATCATTGAAGGCTATGTTCTTATCCTGTTGCCCTACTGTATTTAAGTTTACTCCTTCCTTAGAATAAGAGCCTTCCTCAGGATTCTGGCATATTCTTGAGACCAGCTGAATCATCCAGCCCTGTGAGTAAACAACTATTGGATTCTTGACCTTTCTGCTGGTAGCCACAGTTAACTTGCTGGAACATAGTCTGTAAGCCACTCTAGTAAATTTCTGAAGCTTTCTCCTCATGACTGGGGCCAACTGCATGACAAAGGCAGTATTAGCAGCTCAGTTATTATGGGGGTAAATACCTGCTTTTTCTCACAGAGCCCTCCAGAGGGTAATTCATCAGGTCCTTGAGTGATGAGTTACTTTAAATTAACTGGCAGGGTTTCTAGCTCCCACATTTTATCCTTCCAAGAATGTTTAGCAGGATAAAAAAAGCATCCAATGCACCTTGTTATCTGAAAACAGTTTTCAACAGGCCGATAGAGACCTGCGACTTCTCTGCAAATGGAGGTTTTCCAATTATACAAGTCAGCAGTAGAGAGAAGGAGACATAAATGTACCATGACTGGGAAAGAACCCCACCATCACCACACATATAGACACACACACACACACACACACACACACACACACACACACAATGGGGCTGGGGAATTACTTCCCCCTTCCCTGGGGCAACCAGCTGCTTAGAGCAGGAAGGGGAGAATGGGGCTCAGGGATGAGTCCTCCCTGTGGCAGGGCTGAAAGATAAGCTGAAGTTTCGGGTTTCTCTGGGTGATCTGATTGAGCCAAAATGATTCAGGTCCCCCAAAGAGGGCAGAGGTCTTAAGCCAGGGAAGGAGGGGTTCTTGCAACAGAGCAAGCCATTGGTTATTACTGGGAAACTGGTGACTATAATCTCAGCTTGGGAACTGGCAGCATTGGCATAGCAGCAGCAGCAGCAGCCAGCTGCCTGGAGACAGCCACCACGAGTGGGCATGCCGGCTCAGCCCATGGGTCTATAGGAAATTGTTCCCTGCAGGCAGCTGTAGCTGTGGTCTGAGGATGGCTGAACCCCCCTTCCATTTAGATCTAGTTCTCCTAGCAACAGAACTGACAGAAACACACGTAGTGAAGTCAAACACGTGTGGCTACCACACATTCATACACCTGAACAGACCAGGGGAGTCTGGTGATGTCTCACATGGGTCCTAGACACAGGATCTACGGTCACTTCTGACGGCCCCTCTTGCGTCCTAACCAGATGACACCTCTTACAGGCCCACTTGTAGAAGCCGACCTCTGTTATTTGGCTGAGTGGGCGGGTGATCAAACTGCCTTCTCATTGTTTGTTTGGATGATCGCTGCTTTCAACATCCGCCAGAGGTCTGTTTTCTGTGAGCGCCAAGCAACGCAAAGGATAACTGGCAAATATGCTGAGAACAAGTGCCTGTTGGATACTCAGTCCTGTGTGGGACACCCACATCAACCCCAAGCCACCAGGCTCGGTGCCATCGCAGGAGAGAATGAGAAGAATCTGAGAGACAGAGGACAAGGAGGGAGCTGTGAAACGCAGCCTTCTGAATAACACAGGGCCAGTGAGTTCATGAACTCACAGCAGCCTTGGTTCTCTGCATAGAAGCCCCACAAGATCAAGTCAGCCAATGAAAGACCTGGATAAATCCAGATCCCCCTAGCAGGAAAAAATAGAGCCAAAAATCTAGCAGGAAGAGAAAAATCATAAATCTAGGATTAGCCAGTTCAGGGTTTCAGGAACTAGCTGAAGATAAAGTTAGATTGTAATCTTGAGAATAATCTTGAGAAACAGGGAATTTCCCCCTAATAATTATCATTGGTATTTTTGGAATACTGTGTTTCAGGAACTAGCTGATTATGACCTTGAGAGTGATCTTGAGAGGCAGGGAGTTGCCCCTTGTGACCACCACTGGTATTTTCAGAATTTTCTGTGACACCCTCCCTGCCCCTTTTGGATTGCTGGGCTGTGGTTTCTTCCCTTCAAAACCCCTTCTCCCAGCTACTCGGGGTTAAACTCTTCCCCTGCGTGGATTATGAGTCTCGGCCCCAGTGCACTGGTTCCCGTCTTCCCATCGATTAAACCTCATGTGATTGCAGCAACGACGGTCTCTCCTGAGTTACTTGGGGGGGGGGGGGGTGGGTCATGTTATCCCGAGACTTGAGTGAGAGTCTTCCCATCACGGGGGCTTTTCACCAACATTCTAGAATACATTAGGGAGGGTCTCATGAGACTCTAATCCTAGCCAAGGAGCTATTGGCAATTGATAGCGGCTGGAAGGAGAGGTTGCCATTTTTCTTGGGGAAGTGTGGCCCCTGGCGTGTTGCTCATGCTCCTGTGGTTGGCCTCACATCCATGTGCATTTGGCCAGCACTAATTGGACTCAATGGATTATTAATAAAAATAGATGAGGACACAGGTGAAGGAGAGCATCGTGGGGAGTCCCAGGGGAGAAGGGGGAATTGGAGTTGAATACTATCATGATACATTGTGTATATACATACTGGTTCCATGGACAAACTGCCAAATAATAAATAAAAAGTATTCTAAAGTGATGCCCCCTTCAAGTGTATGTATTTTCAAGTCAAGTGAAGGTAACAGGGGCTGCACTAATATTTCGGTAAGTATATGAAAGTCAACATGAAACCTCTTGAGGAAAGAGCCAAAAAACCACAGGGGAAATGCACTGAAGTGCATGGACATCACTGCAGGACGCAGTAATGCAGCAGCTAGGACCTCCACGGGGGAAGCACCCAGTGTGGAAGAGATCCCTGTGGAAAACAGTGGTTTCCTAGAGAAGGACCTGAAAGACAGGCATTGTCGAAACGAACGACTATACCCCTTCAACAGTTGTTTAATGAACATCTATAACGAGCCAGGTCCCATGCTTAGAGTGAAGAAAACAATACTTATAAATCACTATAAGTGTGCCTTGTCCTTGTGTTTCCCTTTTCTGTGCACAGCCCATCCGGGGAAGACGGTGCGATTATCTATCAGGGAAGGGACGGAAGCGGGTGAGCCTGGAGTTGGTGAAAACCCATGTCTTAGCACTGTGCTGTAGGTCAGACTGTTATAGGTCAGTTTCTCCCAGATGAAATACTCCCTCTAGGAAGGAAGACTCATCAGACTGCAGAAGTAAACAAGATGGGAAAAAGCTAGTTGTTAGGGACTCACTGGGGCCCTGCTCCAGCTTTTACCAAGGCGTAAACAACTGTGTAGCGAAGACTGACCAGCTGAGCTGGGGAAAGGAATCTAGGCTGTGGCGTCATCTGCAGGGCACGGAGCGTTCCTGGCATACAGCCTTTGTGAGTCATCACTCAAGCTGGGGCAGGCTTTTTGGTGAGTCACCCATGCTCCTGTAAGCAGCTCCTCCTCCATACCCCTGTGAATAACCTCAATGAACGCATCTGCTCATCAGGTTAGACTGATGCAGTTGTTTGGTCTGTAGTGGGTTCTGTATGGGGTGTTATGTCTTCCCAGGAAAGGTCTCAGGCTGAAGAGACTTTTTTTAGAGAGCTGGGGAAGGTCGAAGGTCTTGGTAGGAGAGTCAGGAACCTTTACCGTCAGTAACATAGCGCTTGCCATCTCCATTTGCACATCCTGTCTTTTCTCCAGACAGCTCTGTCCCTTACATGCAGCCCTGGTAGGGAAGGACTTTTAGTCTTTCTACCAAGGGGCTTCTTTCCTATGTAAATAAGATGTCTGTGTATTCGTGTGTCTGCTGAGTGAGCACAGAAGCCTGTGGAGGCCAGAACAGGGCAGCAGATCCCTTGGAGCTGGCACCTATAGACAATTATGAGCTGCCAGTGGGTGCTGAGAACTGAGCTCCAGTCTTCCACAAAAGGGATGAAGACTTTTAACAGCTAAGTCATCTCTCCAGCTGATCCGATGCTAATCTCGAGGCCTCTCTCTGAGTCCTATTCTCCTACCACCATTTCATAGACAGCACTCTCTGAGTTGGGTTTAAATACCACTTGACTCTGAGGTTGAAGAAAAGAGAACGGAGAGCAACCAAGACAAGTGACCTGGGCCATTTGCAGGCACGCGCATCACACCCCAGTGCCTCCTTCCTACAGGAGCGTGATTATTAAGACGAGAGAGTCCTCCTGGCCGGAGGGTTCTTTCTTAGGATCACCAATTAGCTCCCATCAAAGGTGTTATTTTCCTGGACAGCTGATGAAGAGGATCAAGTTTCCAATAGGCCAGAGGTTTCACCGAAGCCTTCCAGTTAACAGCTGTAATATTCAGAGCAGAGCAAACAGGGCTTGCTTGGAACTGATCCCTTCTTCTCTGTGATCCAATTCTTCTAGCACCTGTACTGTTTGATATTTTCTTTTTATTTTGCACCCCAGTATTCTAACAAGCTATTGTTAGCCAACCATAACTTTTGGAGCCCTTGTGGCCCAAGAACAGAGCAGTTCATCAGCAAACCATCTGCGTCATTTACTTGATTATTAGGGGAACTTACAAAAGGGCAATTAATTTAGTCCCTGGATCTTGGGTGATTCCCAGTCTTCCATGCTTCTCAATATATCCCCTCCTGATGCTATAGAGAGGTGACATCAGGCCCAGTCTGAGATAGTAGCCAAAGTGTGAGGTGTTGGGGGCGTCGCACTGTCCTTGACCTTCTGCCCACGGTTTCGAGTCTGACTGTGCAGATCACACTGGCCCCTCTCTTTCTGTATTAAGGCATCACTGCACTGTAAGGTCAGATTGAGGCAGGACAGGAAGAAGGAAGGTGATGGGACACAGGGAGGAGAAGGAGCCCTTGTTGTGGAATAGAATGTTTAACTATGTAGAGATGTGTTGCATTGTTTGTGTTTCAGAATAATTGTTTAACTTTGTAGAGATGTGTTGCATTTCTTTAACTATGTAAAGATGTGTTGCTGTTTCACCTTGCCTGCCTAAGGCACTTGATTAATCTAATAAAAAGCTGAATAGCTGATAGCTAGGCAGAGGAGGAAGGACAGGCAAGGCTGGCAGGCAGCGAGAAAGGGGAAGCAGCCAGCCAGGGGCCAGTTAGCCAAGGGGCCAGACAGACAGACAGACACAGAAGAAGCAGGAAAGCAGAAGGGACAGTATGTAGATGAGGCAAATAAGCCTCATGGCAGCACATAGATGAACAGAAATGGGTTAATTTAAGAAAGAAAAACAAGGAAGCTTGAGCTAAGGCTTCTTTCCATAACTCACTATGAATTCATAATTCATAATAAGTCTTCATGTCCTGATTTGGGGGCTGGTGGTCCAAGAAAGCGCTTGCCCTGTAGTCTTGTGGAGGACTCACACCAACTGAAAAGCGGGAATTCCACCATAATTTATATCTGCTGTAATGTCTTCAGACATACAGTTATTTCTTCACATATATATGTATTTTACTAAAAGGACCAGCTTACGATCTAAGTATACATGACCTTGGTTAGGCTGGACCTTCTTCATTTTCCCAGATAATTTTCCATGAATCTTAAGCAAGGCTATCAACTTTGCTTATAGTAAAGATAAGCTGCTTGCCTGCATTACCGTCGTCTAGAATTTACCTCGTCCACTGTAATCCTGTCAAGTGCCTCTAGAGTTCACCTTCTCCACTGTAACAATGGAGTCTCCCTGGAGTTCACCTTGTCTACTTTAACTCTGTCCACTGTAACCCCATCAGCACCTCTTATGAACCATCTGTGATCTCATTTAGGCTCCAAAGCCACCATTTAAAGATACTAGTTTCTGAATGCACCATATCATCCTATATTTGAACACTGTAAAGATACCGAAGAGTAACTTCCTCAGAGAGGCCCACCCCCATTCTCACTGTCTTCCCAAGGACCTCATTCTTTCTCTTAACCCACATGCTTTTTTAAAAAAAATCTATATTCACATTTTTTGGACTGTCAAGATGGCTCAGCAGATTAAAGCACTTGTCACAAGGCTTGATGACCTGAGTTGGCAGGATTCACAATGGAACAACTCCTGAATGTTGTCCTCTAACCTTCACAGATGTCCATACTTACATGTGCATACACACACACACACACACACACACACACACACACACACACATGCATACATGCACAGTACACATATACAATAATAATAAATAAAATGCATACTCTTAAAATGTCTTTTAATGACCTCAGTTTTGCCTCACACTGCCTGACCATGAACTTCCTTCCTGTATGAAGGATTTAGTTTCTCCTGAGAAGAGGGTCTTACAGGGCTAATGTAACACCTCAGTTGTCTGCAGGTGACAGCGTAAAGCTGGGTCTCAGTCCATCCCTTTGGATGAGATCACACTGGCTCCTCTTTCGTGAGCCTCCTTCACATCTCTGATGATTTAATGACAGCTGCTGGCATGAGTAACTGACTGGAGGGCTCAGGCGATGACTTCATCTACACAGGACAAGCACGAGGACCCGAGTAAAGGTCCCTATGAGGCAGAGAAGCCAGGCGTGTGGTACGTGCTTGTACGCATAGCACTGAGAACCAGCAAGAGGTGATCTCATGAGCTAATGGCCAACCAGCCTGGGAAATCGGTGGCCTTCAGGTTCAGTGATAGATAAAATAGACCCTGTCTCAAAAAACAAGGTGGAGACAGGGTGAGGAAGACACCTGACACCAAATCTTGGGCTCTCTAAGGGCATACACACTTTCTCATGTGCATGCATGCGTGCCTGTGCGCACACACACTACACATACACACACACACACACACACACACACACACATATACATACATACATATATATAATAAGCAAGTTAGAAAACAGACACTGCTGGAGTCAGTGTGATCCACTTGTTGGCCAGCATCTGCTTCTGCTTCCTGATGACAGCCCCTAAGAGACTGAGAAGGAAGCAGCCCTTTCCTGTTATTCGCTCCAGCTAAACTTTCTCCAAGGCAACAGAGTGGAAATGGAAAGCAGCAGCATCTCACCACTCTCGGGAGTTAGTCAGCCCTGGCCACAGCCCCTGCTTGCTGACAAAGGCAGCAAAGGCTGGGGCTTGCCTTCACTTCCGGGGAATGAAAGGTCCTCTTTCCACAGAGGCTACTAACTTGGCAAACTACCGTGAACATTCCTATTACTGTTATTTATTATTTTTTTTATACAAAAGGTCTATTAGTGATGAGGAACGTAGCGGACATTCTCAGAATGGATACAAAAACCTAGGCCACTGCGTCTCCTCTAGATCCCGCTCCTGGAGCTGCTAAATACCCTGTGATCTTTAAAGCACTTTGCAGGCAATACCGCAACACATTGCTGCATAACCGGTGGCGTTAGAAGAATCATCCTGCAGGAGCTACTGACAGTTGGTGGCTGTTGGGAGAGAAAGGCTGTAGCCACTGAGGGGTCAGCTGTGCTCCAGAGGACGGCCTCACACACATGAATGCAGGGTCAGTACAAATTGGACCTGCTGGGTAACAAAACAAACATAAGTAATAGGACACAAATTTGGGAGGGGTAGGGATATTGTGGATCTGAGAGAAGTTAGGGGAAAGTGTATATGTGGAGGTAAGTAGGATCAAAATGTTTTTCATATTTATGTATGAGAGTCTCAAAGATTTGTGTGTGTGTGTGTGTGTGTGTGTGTGTGTGTGTGTGTTTTAAATCATCCTGGTGACTTCAGAGATGGCTCAGCAGTTAAGTGTACTGCTTTCATAGAGGACTGGAGTTCAGTTCCAGCACCCACATCAGATGGTTCATAACTGCCTGTAATCCCACCTCTAGGAGATCTAATGTACTCTTTTGACTGCTGCAGGTGCCCATATATATGTGGTGTGTGTGTGTGTGTGTGTGTGTGTGTGTGTGTACAAGAGAGCTATTAAAGTGGACAAAGGGCCAATTTAACCAGGAATTACCCAAATAGGGACAGGAGATTTAAGCCAGTTACACCTCACTCAAAGCAGTCAGAAGCTCAGTCAGTGGTCCATCAGTGTGCCAATTGTGTTATTCGCTTACAGTGATGGGGATACTGGCATTCAAACCCAGAATCTCAAACATATTAGGCAAGCACTCTACCACTGAGCGAAACCCTCAGAACATTCACAGTGCATTATCTGAAGAAGAGCAGCCGCCATGGCGTTCACACACACCTGTCTTCCGAGTGCAAAGGACTCTGTGCACTGCCCCTCCCTATCTGATCCTTTACCAGACATAAAGTTTTTGTGGTCCTTCCACTCCACATTGAATTCTGTTCCTAGAAAGCACAGGCTGTGAGTCCCCCCTTTCTCCTCAGCGCCTGACTTGAGGAAAAAAAGCACACATCCCCATCTTCAGTTCCCCTAACTCCCGTGTTCTAGTTCCACGAGATCAGAGCCTCATAAAAAGCAATCGTGACCTCAATCACGTTTTCAG